TAAGCATAATGGATGAGCGACGAGCGCTTGCGATGGCATCACCAACAGCTGCTGAACTTCCAATGAAAAGACGAATATTTCGGGTAAATTATTATCTTTCATGGTTTATTATTTTTAATTCCCTTACATTTAATAGACTATTCCGGATTATTTATTGAATTACGGATTATAATGTTAATGAGCTAGTATTATTTGGAATATAGCTTATATTTAATTTTATGTTTATATTTTATCTGCATTGATTTGCATTATTGTTAACAAATACACGCACTGTGGCCAAGATTGTACAATTCAATTTACAAATTTCCCTGATGATTTCTGTAAATTAAGTTACAATTATAGTTTTGCTCAATGATAGTTTAAATTTTTTAAATGATAGTAATATTAAAAAAATTCGCATGGCAAAAATAAAAAAATTTATTATTAAAAAATTTCGAATTTTAAATTGCTTGAAATTAAAATTTTCAAATATTTCTATGTCTTCAAGTTTAAAAATTACAGCTATATCATATTTTGTTTATTATTTATTAATTTGCAATTCAATAATAATAATTTGCATAAATCATATAAATCTGCTCTATGTGAATTCATGTGCATTTAATTATTGCATATTTTTGATCTAGATTAAAGTTTTGATATTTCTAAAATTTCAGGATCCAAATGATGCATTTTTGGAGTGTTGTAGGGATCGACAGTTACCAGATGCATGCCTTAATAAATGCAATTTTAATTCTTACAATCAACAAACTGTATGTATCCTATATTTTGATTTTAAAAAAAGAATCAAAAAAAAAAAAGAAACTTTTTTAACGTTGCAAATAATTTTTGTTGTTTTAGTAAGAAATAAGAAAGAAAAAATTCAACAGTTTTCAATTTTAAAAATAAAAAAATTTTTTTTGAACATTGAAATTTGATAAAGAATTTTAACGAAAAGTATTTAAAATAGAAAATTTAGAAAAATTGAATAAATTCTACCATTTATCTTTTTATTCCTCTAACCTAATCCATTGCTTATTGTCAAAAATTGCATTATTTGAATGAAATAATTGGCAGTAATTGGCAATATTTAAGACTTTAATGATGATATAATCGTTATGTTTTGAAAGATATTTTACATGTCAATCTTTCAATTGACATACTTACCTTCCTCATATCCTTTCTCCAATTTTAAAATTCAGCAAACATTTAATTGTCCTGATACAATGTTGTATAGCTTAAAATATTGTCGTAATAAAATTTTATAACTTTTAAATAACAAAAGCAATTTGATAAACTTGCATTTTAGTTAATGTTAATGTACTTGCAACAATATGCATGTCCAATAAAAGCCATGAGAGAGATGCAATTTTGCGCTGCACAAGGACGTGATCATAGGCCTTGTTGTTTGCGGAATGGTATAACGACAACATTAGCTGGCGCAAAATGTCTTACTTTTTGTGATCAAAGGCCTGGTAATAAACGTAAATTTCTTAAAGCGAATGATTAGAAATTTGATTTAAATTTTATACTGTGGACCTTATTTGTTCCATAAATAAATTTTCAATGTTTTATGCAATTTCGTTATTAATTATAATTTTTAAATGAATTATAGCAAGCAATAAAAGTGTTGCTTAAAATTAATAAAGTGAATATTTTTTTGTTGTAAATT